AGCAGGTTCAGAAAGCTGGGGGGGGGATGCAGAATATGGCTTTCTCCCTGGCATCTGCCTACAGCTCAAGCTCCCTGTGTAAGTCCAGCTGCCCTTTGAGGTCCTCTCGGCCTGCTCCGTGCATGCCCTGGGAAGTCAGGGTTTCTCATCTCCCCCAGCGTCCAGGTGCCTGCAGCCAGGCATCACAGCTTTTGCTGAGCCAGCAGAGAACAGGCAACTCTCTCCCAGCATTTGCTAATAGTAGTTTTCAGAGTATCTCCACGTGGAAGCAAACTACTTAATTGGTTGCTCTAGTTAGTCTGAAAGGTCCACAGTAACATCCTGAACCTATACAGTAAATATGATTGGATATCTGCTGGCAGCAACACTTGCATTCCCTCTGGAACAACATGTTGTCAGCCGTGACTGAGACGTGAGATCTTGGTCTCTAGCCCTGGATTGAAACTGTCTAAATCAGCAGCTTGCAGGCCATGGTCTACAGATCCTCAGTTGTCCATGAAAGTCTTTCAAGAATTAAATAGGGCGTGAGAGAAGTGTGTCTCTTTGGAAACGGATGGTGAAAATGGACCAAGTGAGACTTGCCTCTGTAAGCAAAGCAGTGGAAGACCAATTCCACGAGACGCTGCAGGGCATCATGCTAAATATGCTGGTGATGAGCATGCATGAGTTCCGACAGACCCAGCCCTAAAGGAGCTGCTACTTGGATCATTTTGTTTGTTTCCTTGCAATATTCTTTTTTGAATAAGCAGCAATATATTCTCTGCCATCCTGGATGCATGCCAGTACAAGTCCTAAACCTTTCTTGCTAGCATCTGTATATAATATAAAGGGTCATTTATAATCTCTGTAAGCCATGATGAGGCCTTTCGTCACATTGTCTGAAGCCTGCTTGCATTCTGGAGACTGCTTTTGCTGACTTTTGGCTTGCAGAGACAAATCTTGGGGTGGTTTTGTCTGTCTTCTTTCTGTTGTAGTCACTGTGCTATTATATTCTATATTCTATATATATTATATTCTATATTATATATGTTCTAATGCATTTTATGTTTGTGTCTTTCATTCTCACTTGCTTCTATGCCACAGTAAAAACGAAACACATAAAAGTTGCATTTGTCAGAAAATTATGCTATTTATGGGAAACCAAGTGTGTGATATTTTGCAAATGGGAATGTACATTTCACATCTTTGTAACCAAACTCTTCCTTCTGTTGGTAAACAGTGAAGTTAGAGAAATCTGTGTTCATGTTGGATTATCCGAGTATCTCTGGGGTCTGACCACTTCCTTTGCCCTCATGATCCATGCTGTAGGGGTTCTGCTTTAGAGAAGACAGAATGCTGAAGTGACAAGTGTTGTGGTACTTTATCACTGTCACTGCACTCTCTGAGCTCCTGCTGAGGAAGGTGGAAGACTGTCCCTAGACCTGAGTGAAGGATCTGTTATTTTGCCACGGACTATCAGTCCTGCTCCGCCTGGCAAACCCAGGTGATGGCTTCAGGCAAGGAAAGCAATGCATGGAGAATCTCGGGGGAGCTTCTCACTTCTGTAATGATTGCTTCCTCATAACAGGTCCTGAGCAGGTCATCTGAAAAATGAACCTGGGGAAGCGGTGGCTTTCTCTCCTCACCATGTGCAGGCTTCTGTCCCGTGCACTGTAGTGTGGGAGCAGCCTTTACATGCAACTGCTGCCTAAGGCTGTGTCTGATTGTAACAAGGTCTGTCCAGAACATCTCACTTCCCAGAAAGGCTTTTCCAAGGCAGAAGTGACAACTTTACTGCCAAATTCTTTGGAGCTGCAAGGGGATACATGTACCTGAACAGCTTATTCCGAGGACCAGGTAGAGCAAAGGTCTGAGAGACCTACTCAGACAACAGCAGTTGTTTGGAAAGAAAATCTGTATGCATGCTGGTAGCACCCAGTGAATGAAAGCCCTGGCAACACCAGCTTTGTAGGTAGCTTAAAGTATTCAACTTTTCTTGGAGTTTTTGACATAGGCAGCCTGCACAGTGTCACCTCTTTATCTCCAGATCCACAAATGTAGTGCTAGGCTCCCGAGCTGGTTGAAATTAATCCTTGAAGGAATAAGATGATGTTGAATCTGGGTCTATGCAAAGGAAATTTGGAGAGTAACAATTAGTTTCTAAATTCTCCTTAGGATCTGTGATTTGGAGCTGCCATTATACATTAACCAGAGCAGACAGGCTGCCAGATTCCCTCTGGCAATCGTGGAGTCTGCCTCCAACGCCTGCCTCTCCCTTTGCGTTGTGCTGGGGAGTGCAGTGGTGTTTGTCTTTGTTCACCTTCCTATGTTGTTTGCCTCCAGGAGTATGAAGCTCTCTAGTTTCACCATCGGATATGGAGGGATTTGCTCAGAGTGGAGTTGAAATTTTTTAAAATCTGACACAGAAGTGCTTTGTGGATACCCGAGAAGGTGGGACAGGTGGTCTCAGAAGCCCACCAAAATCAGTATTAGAGTGAAATAATTGGTGTAGGATAATCTAACTCCATACCATGGAAACGGTACTTCTTCCCAGATGACTCTGTGAAGGAAGAAGGCCAGTGACACAAATACAAGCTACATAAAGGTTAAAACAGAGCATGCGTAAATAAATATTTCATTTCTAAGCCAGAAAAATGGTCTTAACATGAGAAGAGGCACCCGAGTCCTTGATAATTATACTCTGTTTTAAAATATTCAGTACCTTTATTCTGAATTTGTTAGTATTTCATGTCCCTTCATGCTCTGTGATATGTTACTAGTTTGCATACTACTGCTTTATTCCTCTCCTACGGTGGAACCAATTCCTTTCCTCATTGCATGTTAATGGGAGTTTTTGTTTTTCATAACTTTAGGACATACGCTTCTGCCATTATCCTGTGGGGTTCTGTATATGTGCAGTTTGTTTTGCCTAACGTGAAATGCTTTTTGCTCTGAGGCTTGTGCAGAAGTGCTGTCCTTCCAAAGGCTGTAAGCACTGTGCTAAGAACATGCTCAGGAGAGAGCTGTGGTTTCCCCGACCTCTCTCATACTTGCCCTTTCTCCTGGTTGCTTTTCTGTCCATGCTCAGCTGGCTGCTCCCATGGCATGAGGAGATCTTACCCAGCAATACCTGTCTGAACAAACCCCATGACTAAAGCTTGGAGAGACGAAATGGCTGACTGCACCATGTGTGCATGTGAAATGAAACAGAAAACTTGACTTTGAATTATCACACGTTTCCAGTCTTTAGCTCCTGTCTTTATTTCTTCTGGTTTTGCTCCCTAAACTTTATGCAGAAGTTGTGCTGGGCCTGTTAAAGGATCTGCTGTCATCATGTGAGCTGAAGCTTCTTTAATCTCATCCTTCCCCCATTTTGCCCTATGGTTCTACGATGTAGATGTTAGTAGAGACATTTGGGTACTAGAGTGTCTGATCCCTATATAAACCATATAAATCTGATCTATATACACTATATAAATCTGAGAGGAGTGGTTCTCTTAAGACTTCTCTGCCAGCCTGGTGTCACCTGAGATGTGACTGTAGTTCATGTTTCCTGATGAGGAACTGCAAGGGGTTTACAGTGAGCAGGGGCAGTGGCTGCAGTGGCTGTGCCTTGAGGGTGCTGACGGGCTCGAAGGCACTGGGTAGAAAGCCACCCTCTCTCCGGGTGCCCCAGCTTTCCCCTCTGGCTGTAGCCAAAGGTTCGGTGAGCAGCCTGCTGGCCCCAGCTTGCCCATTGTGGTCTGCAGCGCTCGGCTCAGCCGCTGGCATACATACCTCCTATTCATGGAAATGAGAGTTATCCAGGGAGCAGGGAGCCTCCTGCAGAGATAGGAGGGGAATCCAGAAAGGAAACAAAAAGCAACAAATGCTGTAAATGGCAAATACTGGAAAAATTCAACTATCACGGGGAAGGTGGGTTGGGGAAGGAGGAGGGGACGTACAGGTGCCTGTTTCCACTGTGCCAGCAGTTTAATTTTTGGTAGGCAAGGTTGGGGAGCCACTATGATACCTGGAGAAGAAGGGATCAACTGTACAGGGGGCTCTTTAAGATGGGTGAGAAGCCAGGACTCTTCTGCATGTGCAGGGAATGCTAACATAAGCACTTTGTGTGTTTGGGAGTGCAAGCTGGTGTCTCCACTTTCCATTAGTGACCCCAGTTCTGATCCCCAATCAGTAGGAAAGTGGGTTTCAAACCTGTTAACTACGCAGAGGTACAAAAGCAAAAATGTGAACCAGGATTTGGCAAATATGAATGATGCTTACAAGAGGAAAATCCTTTTTCCCCTCCCTGAACCATGACACTAGAACCTGAAAGTGTATTTTTCAGTGAAGGTGGAAAAGGGTCTATGGGTCCCAGTCCCCAGGGCTGATGCTGCAGTTCCTGCCTTGTCACACACCTTACGGTGAGGAGGTCTCTCTCACTCTTATTTGCTTATGAGAAAGCATAAGACAGCAGTCCTTCCCTCCCCTACGTTTTCTCTTGCCCATTTTTAGACCATAACCTCACCAGGACAGCAATATGGCTTGTTCAGCACCCGCTGACAATGAGCTCCACCACACCAAAAAGCAGAATTTTCCAACTCAGATGTTGTTCAGAATGGTAGGAGGCTGCAGAAAGATACCATAATGAGCAGGATGAAATTAAGACAATGGGAACTGACTATCAAGAGATTTGGAACACTTTTTTTTTTTTTTTTCACTTTTTTTTTTTTTTAAGTCCTATTGTTTATGATAACTAACAAAACTAAATTATGCACTATAAAACTCTAGCCTCTGAGGACCAAGCAAGAGGCGTTACTGGATCTCTTGTGGTTCAGGTTGGCAGAAGCAGGGAATCTTTCTGCAGCTATTGGGAGGAGAGGGTGGGGTGAGAAATGAAGACTGCAAGTTGGGCTAGCTATGGCTGGCAGAAGTAACAACCCCACCCCCCGATACTTGGTCTGTTTTTCATGCAGTCTGATATATGTTGGTTCAGCTTGCTGTCTTACTGGGGCTAACAGTGTCCTTTCTCTCTGCAGGCACTGGTGTCACTATACGGTTACACGGACAGTTTCCTGCCAAGTGCAGAATGGGTCAGAAACAGTGATCCAGCGAGTTTATCAGAGCTGCCGGTGGCCAGGACCTTGTGCCAACTTAGTGAGGTAAAAATCTTTATGTCTCATGTTGCTGAATTTTCCTGCACTTCTCATTAAATTGGTTAGCTTTTAAGTACTGCATGAGATGAATGGGTCAGATGTGATATCCTGCTTCATGATGGTGTAACTAAAAAATGCCACTGGTGTTAGCTGCAGAGTAATTACACGTGAAGGTAAGTACGGTATTAGGGACAACCTATGTGAAACAATCTGGCTTACGCTGTAATGCCCATTGGTACTTTTCCACACAGGAGGCTGTTCCTAGTCAGGCTTGAAGCTAGTCAGGCTTGAGGCGATACACACTACACTCCAACAGAGTGCGGTGTGACTGAACAGGCTTAGCAGGGATTATGTGGCTTGCTGGTATCGAGTCCTCATGCTTGAGTCTTTAAAGGTAATATTGATGAGATACACTGGAAAGCTTTGACTGAATTCCTTGCAGCTGGTGATGGATGAAGGTAGTGTGCCCTGTACCTTTCAGAGTGGAATTTCCTTACAGCACCTCTTAATCCTGCATCTCAATATCCTTTAGAGACATGCATGAAAGCACAGCGTCCCCTCTCCCCAGATGAGAAACAAAAGCGTACAGACTGTGACTGGTCAAAAACTTGCCCTGAGCCTGATTTGTCTTTCAGTCACTTACAGTCTTGTGACTCACCTACATTTAAGGAAAAAAAAACCCCATGTGAAATAGCTCTGCCCAGCTACCACCTTTCAGTATGCAAAATGTCTTCGTATTGTCGAGCTTTGCCTTCTCTGAAAGACATTCTCAAAGCAGAATAGTGTTACCCGCCCATCTGGGAATTGGTGAAAAAAAAGCCATTGTGCTGTAAATTTACACCTAGCATCTATAACAATTTCCCATGTAGACAAGCCCATAATTTAGCTCACAAAGCTCAGTCATTTTATTGTTACCAATTCACCCACAGGGCACTGACTGAGGTCCTGCTGTAGCTGATAACCTAGCCAGAATGTGGTTGTACTGCCCACTTCAATACCAGAGATCCACCTTCCCAATCTGCGGCTTTCGACTCTTCATCTGGAATTCACATTTTCCATGTGGCAGTTACCACAGCTGGTTCTCCAGTTTCTACTTGGCCAGTGGTCAGTCTAAGCTTTTTCACTTGTAATATATCTGCTTTGGTGTCTCTTTGGTCTTGTTTTATGCAAGGCTGTGGTTGAAACACTTAATATTTTACACGGTCATGGCCAAACTTCTGTTGAAGCTTTCTAATTTCCCAGACTTTTTACACACATAATTGTCATTAGAAACTTGTGAGCTTTCACCTTGTCTCCTAAACTTGCCAAAAATCTTGCTTATTTTTTCTTTGTTAACATAACTGTAGTTTCATAAGTACCAAACAATTGATCGTGTTACTAGTAAAAATCCTTTTTGTGGGCTGCTGCAGTTACTCATATACATTGTTTCTTACATTGTTAACCCAGAGACTTTAGCAGTAGTGTGTGCTGTTGTGACATTGTTATTCATGGAACGTTTTCAGTTTCAAATGTAGTTTGGTTCATTTGCCTGACGAGTCCAATTGTTTGGAGACAATGCAGAATGGCAGCAGACTTCTCAATTTTTCTTTCTATGTGAAAATATCATGGAAAGAAGCTGGGGTTATTGATATTTAAGATCTCAGCTGGTGAAAGCTCAGCTGACACACGCTGCATTTCTGGAAGACGATCACCATGAAGAAACCTACCAGAAGAGATGGGAGAACACCAATGCTCTGTTCCCTCTGCAAGTGGGAGGAAACACAAGCCAAGCACATGGCACCCTTCCAAGGAAATGACTATACTGTCTGTCTTCTAATCATGCATTTTATGACTTTACTTTATTTACTCAACTTTACTTGCATGAAGTAAAGAAAAACCCTGGTCTTCTCTTTCCCAAGGACCTCCAGAAAGCTGCGTACAAATGCTGGAGCCTTCCAAAACTATCAATAAAGCTACCCAAAGTTATCAATAAAGGTGAAGCAGGAGCAGCATGTGCTGGTTCCTGATAATTTTCTGTACTGCCACTGTATGAAAGGGAGAGCCCCAAGAACAAGTAGCAGGGAAGCCGAAGCCACTGAGGTCCTGAGAGTTGAGTGGGTTGTTGGATGAGTTATCCCCATCCCAGACATCTTTTATAAGTGGTTGCTTGTTTTCAGTGGTGCTGTTATCATTGTGATATGAATGAAAAAAAGCCACTGAAAATGATGGATCTTGTGACATGTAACTTCTGTGGGCAACATTTAGTAACCCTGAGTCATGTTGTATAGTTGAGGTCTGATTTCCCGGGCCTAGGTAGCAGACTATCAATGTTATGTTGCCAGAGATAGAGATATGTGAATAACTGGCTTTCTCTTGTCTTCTAGTCAAAGTGAGGTTTTAATTTTTTATTTTTTTTTATTTTTTTTTTAACGACATGTTTTCCCCTCTTTAACCAAAATGAATATCGTCTCTTTAGGAAACACCAATCTCTCTCGTAATTCGGGTGAATCCCATCTCTTGTTTTCAGATGAAAACTCCCAGGGACAGCAATGAGAAAAACAGTCCCCAAAGTCACAGGGCGGTTGGGTAACTCTTCTATTCAGCACCTCACTTGCTAGTGCAGTTCCTTGCAAGTTATACTTGCTTTCTTATTTTTCTGCTGAGAAACTGGCTTTGAAGGGGTTTGTAAGCTTACACCAATCACCGTGGTGCACAACTTCCTTCAACAGGTCTCTGAAAATTCCTGTGAAAGACAAACAGAGCAGAAAACTCAACTCAGGTGCCCTACTTTTTTTTTTTTTTTTTTTTTTTCCCCTTTTCCCTGCCCTTCCTCTAACTAATGGTTTGAGAGTGATTCTGTACCTACTTTTTCAAAACAAAAAAACCCCAATCCAAATTCCCAAATCTATTTTAGCATGTCTGAAAGGTTTGGGTGACACTGCTGTTTGCCTGTGAGGTGTCCTGGTTTTCTTGGGAATCTTGTCTTTTTTCTTGTGATGGGCACACTGTGTGGTGCAGGGCCAAGACAACCACTCTGTGTTTAGGGTAAACGTTACCTATTTTGTCTTTCAAACTAACTTATCCCAGAAAGAGAAAGATGGATGTGTCATGGCAGAACTTGAGCCATGGGACTGCTGCTTTGCCACCATGGCTATGGCTAACAGCAAAGGACCCCTCTACCCATGTTTCACTTAAACCTGCTACTGCAGGACTGAAGTCCAGAAATGCTGCAAGTCCTGATACCTTGTGAGGTCAAGAGTTCTCTCCTCTCGGGAGAGGATATCCTAAGTAAGGATATCTTCAGTAGTTACCTTAAACAAGGAAAAGGCATGTGTCTGGTATCAAATCTGATAGTGTCCTGTCCCAACACTTTGCAAAACACAGGAGAGGGCTTACTCTAGCTTCATGGAAGGGGAAGCAAAGAATCCTTTGTGTCACTAAATGCCTTCACTAGTCCTTGAGTGTGTTCCTGTCATATGAAGGAGCTTTTCTCTACAGTCCTTGATGATTGCCTGCTTGACTGTATCTGCCCGACATGACAGATCCAGCACAAATGTTTTACAGGGCCAATAAATACTTCATTCCATCAAACAACGTTGTTTGTTTCCTCCTTACCTTGTCTATACCAGCACCTCTGTCTTTTCATGTTTTCTGGAAGTCTAGCTCCTGGAGATATCAGGCTTACTCCAGGTCTGGTAGTGACTAGAAATGATCATGCTCTCTATATCCCTGTGGTTGTTCAGGTAGTATAAATGTATCTGCTTTCCTTTTGCCAAAATGAAAAACGTAAAGATCTTCTGTTCTTCTCTAGCAAGATTTCTGGTGCCTGAGCTTGAAGAGGGGGCACATTCGTATGGTGTTATGCTTGACTGTAAGCAATGCATAATGTCAGTAAGCCACTGGCATTATTTTGGCTTTATAGTAGTTCTCCCAGCTGCAACTTGAAACAAACTGTTTTCATCTCCTTCTTTACAGGGAGTCAACCATATCTGGGAGAGCTTTCATTCTGCCAGCACCCGTTATCGGGCTGCTCACTAGCAAAAGGGATGCCAGCCAAAAAAAAGGCATCTCTCAACCTTATGGTGACAGCTGAGGGGCGCTCTGTTAGAGAGACTCTGCTTACAAGCAGACATCAGTGTGGCCAGACAAGGATTTAATCCGTTTCCTGTCTCCCATTCATTCGTGTTATGTTTCTTTCCCTTATTGCACAAACTGCAGCTCAGGGCAGAGGAGTATCTGTGAGTTCCCCAGCCTAGCAGCTTCAGTTGTGTGATGTCCTTGCTGTCTGTTCACTTGCTCTTGGGAAGCTGGCAGCTGTACTTCTTTTTCAGGAGTGTCGTCATCTTGGCTGGGATAGGATGAGCTGATCTGTTCTTGCCCTCCACCCCAGACTCTTTATTTAGCTTGGGTGCCAAGTTGCTTTGGAGCAGTCTTGGCTGGAGACTTTCCCTCAGCAGATCTATTCTTGAACTCTCTCCATTTGCGTAGTGAAGACTTCAGCTTCTGCGCGCTATAGGATATGCCTTTGCTTTGTCACGCTACGAAGTGAATGGGCAACTTTCCAGCACTCTGGCTGAAGCTCCCACTGTACTTATAAAAATTGCATGCCATTTATCTGTCTGAAGGAAGGGATAAAGTCTCTAGCTTGGTGTTTCAGTGGCAACCTAAACTCTGGGTGTCTGCTGCCTGGATGGTCACACCTGGCTCCCAGTAAGCCCAGACATCTGAACTATAACCCTTCTCCTGAGCAATCGTTTTGCTGCAGCAGCTCCAGGCTCATGCAGAATCCTATCCTGACTAGGATGCTATGCTCCTCCAGGCTCACAAAGAAGGGTGGTTTCATAGGCCAGGCAAGGATTTGAGACCTGTATTGAGTTGCTGAAGCTTTTCTGACTTCCTGTGCCTTCAGTCAAGCAATAACAAATCACCTGTAGATGAGAGCAGTATTTCTTTTGTCTTACTGTGTTTTATGACTTTGAGAATAGGACAACTTCTCGCTATACTGTAATTGGTCAAAATCAGCCTAA